CATCAGGATTGCTTGGCTATTTTACTACTAGCAGGATTACTGCTAACATTCTGAAAAATTAACTTAATCACAACAGCAATAAAACTCTCATCCTAATTTTTCTGTAGTAATTATGCTACCTTTTACTCCATTTTCTTGCTGCTATCACGATGCCTGTCACAGACAGAAACCTGAACTTGCCTGTTTTGATCCATCTGAAGGGAGTAGACCCAATTCTATACCAACAGCTCTTTATCTCCACCTCCTTGGCCACACAGAGATACATACATACTCTCACTTTTAATGGGTTTGGGATTATTTGTCACATTGAAATTTCTATGCAGGAAGAAAAGAAATAATCACATTACAGTTAAACCATGCTGCCCTTTGTGTTTTACATCATGTGGTTACAATAAAGATGCACGCAGATAGACAGTTTACAACTGCTACTGTAATTACTGTCATCTCACAGCCTTTTAAGTGTTTAGCTGACCAGCTACACTGCATGGTGGCACAATCACAGGAGATTTACCAATACAATGATTTTTCTACAAACCAAACTCTTCATTCACCAAGTGTTAAAACACACCTCAGAATTAGAGGCAAACATGATGTTCTACTCCCTACACCCACTTGCCAGAATACCCTTATGGCAGACAATATATTTTGGTAAGTTTATTTAGTGCATGTGATTTTCTGGCAAGGTACGGTAAATTTAGTCAACCACACCTGGAACTAATACCTTTGATTTTCCAGTTTTCTATGCCATACAGCCATGTACACATGAGCTGGAATGTTCTGTTACCATTTTTTATGAATCTGCACCTTTGCACCAATGTGAAGTGAAATCCCACAGGGCTGGGATGGTGGATGTACAGGAGCTAATTTATTTAAGCCTCTACTAACAAGAGAATTATAGTTGGGTCTGTCTGGATTTATACACATTTAATATGGAAGTTTTCAAAACTGTTGTTTTTCTTGTAAAAAACAGCTTGTTCTGGCCAACAGTCTTCAAGAGGTCTTTGCCAAGTTATGAACAATGCTTCATCGAAACACAGTTTTGTGCAAAGCATGTAAACATTTGCCATAAAGTTTATGCTGTTATTTTTTCCAGCCACTGATTACTCTTGTTTTCATTGAGATGTTGCACGAGGAAAACATCTAATTCAACTAATGTGATTCTTTTGGTTTTGAAATTACATACATACTTTTCAGAGGCATCACCAAAGTTTAATCTCCAGCATGCTGAAAATAATGCACCACAGTTCCCAGTGGAGATTTATATGCAGTTAAATTACATATTCATGCTGAACCCAACAGCAAACAGACATACTGCTGAGAAAGGAAGTCTCAATCAAGTCAAAAACCAAAACAATCTACTTGTTCCAAACAAATACAGAGATAAACTAACCTTCCTACTTGGGGATAACGTGGTATTTTGATTACTAAACTTTAGTCACATGGGTATGAACATACAATGGTAACAGAAAAAGAGGTGAAAAATCTTTAAAAGAGAAGGAAAACAAAAAATAACAGGATAGAGAGGAGGTGTTATGACTGGCAAGAAGCATTCAGTATTTCTAGAAGAAAAGGAATATTTTTCAACAGACAGACAATACTAAAGTTAATAGGAACCATGGAAGAAAACTTTGAATGGGAGGTCAACAGCAATGTTGTTGAGGCAATTTAGTGAGGAAAAAAAAGATGTGTATATCACATATTTAAATATCATATATTTAAACAAATGAGCTGCATGAGCTATTTGGAGTCTGTTAAATTGATAGGAAATGGCTGACATTGAACTAAAATATAGCAGAGAATTTAATTCCATATAGTATTAAGGAATGTGCACAATATTCTTTGTTCTTCAGCTTTTTGGCATCTATAAGCAGCAGCCTGTATTGCAGTAATATCAAGCTCAGAAGTCTCTCTGCCGAACAGAGCTCAGCTCTCATTATGGCCTGGGATCCTGTGGCAGCAGGATTAGAAGTGGTGGTGCGACCCTGCTGTTGTAAGTGAGGTTGTGGAGGTCGGGCTGAAAAACCCAGCATTTACCAGAATGTTCTTTAGTTTCAGATTGTGCAGTTTTGAGTAAGTTAAGCACTGGCTTTGCAGACCGCCTCAGGTCCAGCTGGAAGTCCAGAAAGTTTTGTACTTGATTTAGCAGCCTCCAACTCAGCATCCAAAATAAAAAGTTCAAAAGGACTAGAAAGTTTTGGTATACTTGAGATTAAAGGCTTGCCAAAGGCCACACGGGAGATCTGGCATCTTACTGGCTTTACTCAGAAAAGCAAACATGGCACATATGAACTTCACTGGGGCTTTATCATCTCAGTGGCACATTTCCCAGATTCAAGTAACGTAACAGACAAGATACGCCTATGAACAAACTTACATGCTTTTAAAAATGTTCCTTAAGAAGGAAATAATTTTGACCATTCTGAAAACAACCCCTGAGACACTGTAAGGTGTTGCTGAATGCAAGAGTTGTTGAAAATTTAACTTGTGCAGGTTTGGACCAAAGCAGCCTGTTAGTCTTCCAATATTAAAGTAATTTATAATGGAAATTGAATACCTACAACTAGAATTGGAATGGTTTTCACCCAGTGCAGGAGGGTTGGCTGCACTTTCCTGAACTGCACCAAAGCATTAGTGATAGAGCCTGCAGTGAGGATGGGCACAACAACCTCCAGCAGCTACCCCCTGGCACTGGAACACACCCCCATGGAAGCAGCTGGGCAGAACAACTTATACAGAAACCTCTGGCTGTGTTAATGCACTGCCGGGCTAAATAGGCAATGGCTAGGAAGGAATCACTGTTTGCAATACAGGAAACCCCACATCAACATAATTCATACTTGTGCCCCAAAACTTAATCCTAAAGAAAAGTTAAATGTCCCTTGGAGCTCTCATAAACACTTGGAAGACTTTTTTGCCATGAATTCTTATTTCCAGCTCCCAAAAATGAGATATGTCATCTTATGCATGTCATCTATGCATAGCAGAGGTTAAGCCACTAGAGAGCTATCTAGTTGCTAAATTTAAAATAGAATTTAATTGCTTTAAATGCAACTTTTTGTTTCCAGTCTTGTTTCTCCAAAGTCTGAATTAATCTTATTAAATACTTCTCCAGCCTTGTTTGGGACTTGGGACAAAGTGAATCAAGGAGAAACAGAAGGTAACACAAGTTCAAGCAGTTTAGGTAACACAAGTTCATGGGAATCCCTGGGGGATCTGTAGTACAAAATACATTTAAGAGATCCCAGGCTTGAACATTATTTACTTTTCACAGCATAGGGACACTGCACAGGCTGATACTCCTGAGGGAAAAGAATTCCCATAACAAGTCCAAACCAGTGCATGTCCTATTAGGAAAACATTTCAGAGTTGTGGGTAAACCCTGAATCATAGGCATTAAACTACATATTTTGCTTAGGCATTAATCCAGGCAGAGAGATCAGACAGACACAGTATGACACCCTTACTAAGTATTTCTTCATCAGCTCGTATTACAGCTGCTGACTAACAAATGCATAGTACCTAATCAGGGTTTCTGCATGTCCTGTGCCATGAAACCCTTGGAGGAGTATGTAGATTAACCAATGTAATTTTTTTGTAATACGCCATTTCTTTCCCACAAGCTCCATATCCCACAGGCGTTAAATAGTACAGTAACAGAGTTAAAATAGATACAGGAAAGAATGTAAGATTTAAAAATAGATGAGGAATCCAGGAGGCAAAGACACAGGAAGAGGTCTTTGATACAGACTGCAACAAGCATGAGGGTTTTGAAAAAAAACACAAAACTTGAAAATTTTTGCCTCATTTAAGTCAGTGTGGGTTTGCCAGTGCTGTTTACTGAGGCAGCACTTCATGCAGAGAGAGAAAACTTGGATTTGATCATGAAGTGAATGAAAAACCACTAGTGTAGTAGGAGACAGTGACAGACACAAACATTTCACTGTTTATGTGGAGTGCAGTCTGGTGGCCCTTGAAAGACAGAGATTGGCTTCAAGTCTGCCTTTATGCAAGCAAGTCTGATAGCTTTTACATGAAAGTATTAGAACAAGATATGCTTTTGTTCTGCAGGGACATAACACGCTACCTCATCCAGTCACCCCCCAGCCTTGTGTTTTAGGGAAAAGCAAGGCTGGAAGAAGCCTCACTGGCTTTGAAACTATGAAAGTTATTAATTCACAAATCTTTACCTTTAATGCAACAGTGCAGCAGACTGTTCCAAGTGCTAAGTACAGTGCATGCTTAAACAGCAAGACTAAACTACACAGCTGAGTTTGTATACATTTTACAGTGACATTCTTGAGGTTCTTTAACCTACAACATACAAGTCACTGAACTTAAGAAACCAACAGTGTAACCAGTACATACTATCGCAGCAGTTCCTCAAACACCTATTAGCATGTGTTGACAGTTCTGAAAGGAAAGTTGTTGAGCAATTATGCCAGGAGATAAACATTGCCTAACCCTAAAGAGTAACCACAAGAACAGAAAAACAAGTGTTACTGCATCTAGTGTCTGCCTCCCACAGCACTGATCCCTGACTACTGAAATAAAAAGACTGAAAGTCACCTGAGGATATAAATGATATTGAAATAACTTTCTTATATCTGTATAGTCTGCAGTTCAAAAGTCTGGTAACCACTTCCACCTCATTACTCTCCACTCCTCCAGAAACTCTGGCTACTAGCAAATACATTGTCTAAAAATACACTGTCTCTCAAAAGCTTTCTACTAGGTGTATTTACAAGTACTATGGGTATGATCTTAGAGTCAAGCAGAAATAACTGCTTATTCTAATGTTTGTATTCACAAGCCTGGTAGACACAAACATGTGGCCCTGTTGTATCTTATTGCAGGGTTCCATACTGTTGTCCCCTTATCACAAAAGTTCCAAACCTTCTCGGTGTTTCTTGTGGGGCAGCTCCTCAGAGCCCTGACTCTTTCCCCTTCACAAAGGAGCCAGCTGACTCCAATTCCCCTCTCAAGCAGTCACCCCACTCTTTTATAGCATCTTCGTCTCATTGGTTCAGCTGTGGCCTCTTAAAGTCAGGCCTGTTGCTAAGCTTTGATAATTGGCCCAGCTGCAACTACTTAGGGGTAAGATTACTTTCTACACTATCTTTATTTTCTTATATTCTATCCCTCTACATGGCCCAAAATGGACAGCAGCTAGAATCTATTTAGAAAATTCTGACTAAGATCATGGAATTTTGAAACCTTCTCTCAGAGGAAACCATCAAGTCTCATACTAGTTAGCATCCTTTACCATTAAGATGTTATGCTGGAGGATAAATGGCTTGACTTGAGGGGAATGGAGAGGGCCAGAAATCAACAAAATCTCTTTGCCCTAGTTCTTTTCCAGGGGTAGAGATGAGCTTGTCTTGTCACTTTGATATGCTAAATAATCTTGAGAATTATCCTCCTTGGAAAGACAACACTTAAGTGCGAGGCATCTGGAAAGGAACACATGGGCCATATGTAGATGAAGGATCAGTGAACCATACGTGGTGATATGTACTGGGGCAAATGGGGCAAATGTGCAACATGGCCTCAGAACATTTCTGCTTGATACTCCCAGCTAGAAATAAACAGCAAATGTAACAAGGGAGACTCCCAGAAATTCCTTTCTACCTGAGTGTTATGCAAGCTCTTCAGAGGTTAAGATCTGCTTACCTTCAAACCATAGAGTGGGATGGTAAACCTAAGATTCAGCAGCACATCTAGTTCTTGGCAGTAAAAAAGAAAACATGGCATGGGTTGAACAGGTCTTCTTTCACTTGTGCTTCTATATTTCAGATTGCAGAGAAGGATCACATTCCAAATCCTAGAACAATTTTAATCCCAAGCACCTTCTGGCCAAACAAAAGTCTCTGGACATGCAATTGCCCCCAGGCTTTCAAGGGTCAGATTCACTAAATCCACCATTGTATTATAGTGTCTGGAATGGAAGACACACAGAACATAGTGCCCCTCGACTCCCAAAAACAGCACCAGTTCAGCCTTTACTAGGAGGGAACAATTCTCACTGCCCACAGCTCATGCACAGATGAGATGTGAGCACCATGCATGCAACCAACTTGCACACTTCCACCACTCAGTGCACAAAAATTATCCAATTGGTGAGGATGATCCTCTGTAATTACACCAGCCTGTGGGAGAAAAAGAAATGTGAAATAACCCTGTGCCGTACATTCAAATTTCAGCCAAGAGTATAACTGAAGTAAATGGCAGGAATTACACGTTTGCTATGAGGCATGAAGCCAGAGCTAGAAGAATTGCCTCTATTCACTGTCTCAGCTTTAGAAACCAGGAGTAATAAACAATTAGACAACGGGTTTGGTGCACAGTTTCACTGCACCGAGTCAGAAGTGGTGGGGATGTACAGATTAGTACTTTTGGAGAACCCACACTTGCATGAGGATGAACTGTAACACCATTAGTGCTGATCCATGAGAAACAAAGAAACCTGACTGAGATTGAAATGCACTCCTTTCCCAAGCCATGGATACCACTTACTTCAAACCACCTGGAATGCCTGCTACAGTTCTCCAACACCAGCATTAGACTAAACTGCATGGAGTAGTAAACAGAGAAAACACAATCCACAGCCCTTTGATGGGCTTTGGGGCAGGGGTGGCCAAAGAAGATTTCTGTACTTTAAGGCCTTGGCAAGTACAGTCTTCATCCAGGCTCGACTACAATTGTGACTGCCTACTTTATTCACCAATTTCAGTAGACACTGGCCTTCCTCCAGGTACTGATGGGGATTTTAAGGCAGTTTTCCCTTTCCAGCAATACCCCTCATATGCCTCCAGCAGCCATCCTGGGCCTCTGCAACCGGGCCACTTGCTACCCTTCCTGTCACAGCACTGCCAGCTGAGGACTCCTGTTTTATCAAAATGCTGAGACTGTGGCCAAAGTTTTTGGCTCCTCCTTAAACAAGCCCTCAGCTTCAGGTATCACACTCTCAATGGCACATGCTATAAAAGATAACAGTATAAAAGTAACCACCTTAGCTTGTTTGGTGCAATCTGTGAGTAGCACTTCTCAAACCTCCTCTTATCTTCCTGCTGTTGAACACCTGCAGCAGAAGCCACAGCATCTCTGGAGTGAGTCCTGCCTGTACCTGGGAGGAATAGGAGATTTCCCCTTAGTAACATAACATTTAATTTCTGGAGTATACTGTGCTTCACTAATAATATCCAGGCAATGTAACAGTTGCTTGTCTAATTTGTAGTGCTCTCTCCAGCATAGTTACTCTGTTTTTAACAGCCTCCTTATCTATCAGGGGGCAGCTTCGAGTTCTGAATGAGGCTTATGAGTGCTGTGCATGGCAGGTGCTGCCTAATTGTGTGTGTTTGTGCCACAGCTGCCAGTGCTGCTCTGTCCAGCTGAACACACCAGGGCTCATCTGAGCCATGACTGTGGTCAACAACAGCCCAGAACAAGGGACTGCTTGTTCCACAGTGGTGACAGCAAAACGCCATGGGGTAGGGCTGACTGTTTAACAGTTTTTCATGATTCTGCATAGCATAAGTGCTGAACAAAGCACAGTGGGTGAGGGACATGATGTCATGCATTTTCCAAGAAACCTAGATATTAAAAAATTCATAATAAATGCCTTCAGTGAGTAGGATGCTTTTTGGGGAACCAACTGGGTCTTTCTGATAACAGTGTATTTATTCCATAGTGCAGAACTGCCCTGCTGTATCTCAGAATAAGAGAAATAACATCATGATATAATCTCATTCAGTGACTTTGGACATGTTTGTGTCCTTCTCCCATAACTGTCTCATTTTTCAGGTGTACTATGAAGGCTGAGGCTTGCAATAGAAATCCTGTACAGACAAAATAAGGATGGAGGCTTAATTACTTCTTGAAGTAATTAGTATAGTGCCATGACAGCACTTGTTTGTAAATTATAAACATTCATTTAATAAGTAAGGTAAATTTTATTTTCATTCTTTGTGTTTCAATGTTGTAACTTGCAATACCTTTCAGAAATAATCCCATACAGACAGTTCAGATTGGAATATGACGATACTTAACAACATATGGAAATGCTTTACTGATTATATAGTGCAAGTATTAAATAATACACTTGATGCTATTGTTTGGGTGAAAAGTGTAATGTGTACATTACAGTGCTGTGAGCCAGAGCACTCACCGTCTAGCTGGAGCTCACAGAACCCACAGAAGTGAAGAAGATGCCTGTGTATTTCAAAGTAGCTGCACAAAGAGAGTCTTGACTCTACAGCTCATCTCTAAACAACAGATTTTCTTTGGGCTAGGGGATTGCCCAGGTGAGAAACCTGCAAATGAGGAAGCAACACAATGAGGCAGTTAACAGCAGCTGACCCTCAGTGAAAGGGCAGGTGAGTTGTGGTTTCCTTGGACAGGAAGGAGTCCACCAGGTGCTCACCTTGATTGGAATTCTGCTTTCCAAGTCTTCTGCCTGCCACCAGTGAGGCCTTTTTACCTCTCAGGTCCAGCTTTTTTCCTTGAAGCTGTGCTCCAGCCAGCACCTCTGTTTTGGAAAGAGCTGTATTCAGTAAGGGCTGCCTAATTCTGTCCTTAAGGTCCACCAAAATATTTTTCTGAAGCAGGACCTTAGAGTCCTCACGCAGGCAGGGAGTAGAGCTGGTGCTGCTGCACTGCAGGGGTGCAGCTCAAATAGAGAGCATCCAGAGAAAAGAAATATTTAATAAGAAAAACTAAGGCAAATAAATTCAAATAAGGAGGAAACAAAGGGGGAGGGGGAGGAGAAGGCTTAGCATGTAAAGGACAATAGCAGCAGAAGAGTCACTTTGAGATACTGAGTCCAAACAGTATTCTACGTTTGGAAACCCTCTCTGAATTTCTCAACACTGTCTTCAGGAGATACATCATATATGTTATGGACTATGCACCATCTTTTGTCAAGATTACTAGAAGGACTTTATGTAAGTAGTGAATGACATAATTAAAAACACAAAAAGCATTCTTAATCTGAGTGAACCATGGGGCAAGGATACAGGGTTCCAAGGGGGCCCTTCCCAACCCTGGAGCTCATTGCTTGTAACCCAAGAATTAGCTGCGCTGTACAAAGTGTCCATTGTATTCTGCACACACACTGTTCCTGCACATTTCTAGGGATGTAATACACTGCAGGAAGTAAATGGCACAATTACAGACAAAGCCCATGGAGGATGTCTCGGAGAAGATTTGAGCAATAGAACATCACACTCTTAATTAATATGTTCCATGTAGTAAATAAAGATGCTCTGATAACCAAGAGAGGGAAGGCTGTGAAAGCTTGACTGTAAATTTTGCTTAAGCAAAGACTGCACTTACCTTGTGGGAATATTTCCTTGTGTGAATGGTTTATGCAGTATTAAGAATAGGAAAGTCCTGCAGTTTTGTATTCAGGGGGGAAACTGCTAGAAGAAAATCATCTCTCTCATTTCCTGCTAGAATAGGCTCATCTTTCTTTAATTCTCCAATTTCTTTTTAACACCCCTCTTGCCCTTCTGCCATAACTCAATTTAATTTAGATCTGATTAAGTATTTGCAGAAGTGCATCTTTCCAGCAAGCTGGTGGAAACCAGCTGTGGCTGTGGGTCAGAGACAGAAGAGGAACAATTAGCACAGTGCAGTTTCAGCATTCTGTTGCATCTGTTATATAGATTACCCACAAGTAACCCATCAACTAAGACTACCTGTTTAATTCTCTGATAACAGAGATTCCAGGCTCTTCAGAAAAGTTCTTCAAGGGGTCTTGTCTTCCCGGAAGCCTGGGACTTCTGGTGTTGTGAGCAGTGCAGTGCTGGTAGTAGTTGCTGTCTGGGGGAAAGTCCCATCTGCTACAGATCTTGCCATTAAAAAAAGCAGGAGACTCAGGTGTGTCCCCATTCAGCAGGTGCTAAGTGAGGCTGAGAGACAGACAGGAGAGAAGGTAGTGGAAAACATTTGTCTCCTAAAGACCTGGGTGTGGAACAGAGGAAGAAGAGGTTTAGTTTTCCAAGGAGACAAGTGAAGAAGGTTGGTTGTGTAAGTGCTGGAGTGGAATAAGGCTTGCTCCTTTCAGAGCAGGGCTCTTGGCTAAGAGAAAAGGGAGAGCATCTGGTGCTTGGCTTATCTGCAGTGAGAGGAGGAGGTGAGTCAAGGGCTTGGAAAGTGGAACAAACGTCTTTGATTTTTATCAGCCTTCTGCCCATTACTTAATTTAGCTGGTAGCCATCAGTGAGGGGAAAAGGATAATTTCTCAGGGCAGCAGAAGAGGAATCATTTGTTGTTCTGGTTGCCATGATAATCCCCAGAAGTATTTTAGGAAACCAACATTAAAATCTTGAAATGAATAAAGAAGTGAGTGGTGTGGGACAAAACTTGCTATCTTGCTGCATTTCTATATTATGTGGATTATTGGGTAGTCTTGTGCTGGTTTTGAATATGTTTGCTAGAAATTGACAGCCTTTTGAGTCCTTGCTTCTGTAGTAAGACATATGTGAATGCAGAGTCTTTGAGTCTGTGGTCCTCCATTCATTGCCCTTTAGGAAGGCTAGGAGCACAAGGGCTACATAATTTGGCCTTTCTTTCTTTTTTGTATATAGGGTAAAAATTTAAAAAACAAAGTAATTATTTACCTTCCCTTTTGACATAATATCTTGGGATTTCCACTGAGATTAAACCCTCAAGTTGTCAGCTATTTTCAGAAATAGTTTATATTCTAGATTAATAGAGGGTTACAGGGAATGATTCTAATTTCACATTCTTTGTAGGATTCATAGACAAAAGAGAAACAAAAACAAGAACTGTGATTTCTGATCAACTTTGTACCTATGGGTTGTGATGCATTTTGTTCCTTGTGCTGCAAGTGAGAGCAGGCAATTCTTAGCAGGTTCTGACAAGTGGCACATCTAGTCAGGAGAGGAGGATAAGACATTATGAGAGGGGCTGCCAGTCAGTACAGCAGCTTTGTGCAATGCATTTCAGGCCACTTGGTCATGAGGAGTTGTGCTCTTGTCATCTGTGACAAGGAGCTCCTGCTTCACCAGAAGCACGTGTGACTGGCAGTCAGATGAGTGCAGACAAGCCAGCAGGAGTGCACTTCAGCAAGGGAAGGAGTAAAAAAGTAAATGAAGACCTGAGAATACCTGTAACAGAGCAGAGCTCAGAGCTAAGGAGCAGAAAATGGCACTCAAAGTGAAGGATTTGGGAGATTATTCTTTGAGTATTGCAGTATGTAATGGATGTATGATCTGTCCTTTTTCCTCCTGTCCCCAGAGCAGGTAGCAGTAAGTAGCAAGTACCTAATGAGGGATACAAGACAAGCTAAATAGGTATCACATTCTCAGTTTCAAGTCTGTAATTGAATCAGATGTTCAGATGCATGGCTCTGACTGTGCAACACTGAATTAATTGTATAAAGTATTTGTATTCTTCTCCCCCATCTCTTATTACCACTCTGTTGTGGTTTGAAAGCAAAACCAGTGAGAGACTCTAGTCTCCTATGGCAGTTATATTCAGAAAATGGAACTACTGCATGAATTGGAAAACTAACCAATAAGACAAAAGGCAAATTTTCAGTCACCTGTCTGCAAACCACCTGCATAGCTAGAATTCCCCAGGACAATGTGTGAACAGTGCTGAACAGCAAACCATGTTTGTGATAAAACCACAGGCAGCTCAAGAATAAGCAAATAGTTCTGCAGGCAGACAAATTTAAGAAAAACTATTTCCTAGGCTAATCAGCATGGGATAACCTATACCCCAAAGGCTGCAGCTTCCCATCACAGATAGGGACCTATCCTCTAGCCACTTACCTCTTTTCAAAGGACATCTACAACATTACTTGTTTTTATCACTTTAACTCACACAACAAGACGAAAATGTGTTAAGTAGAAAACAGACATGGAATTGAGTGAGCCTGGCTTCCATAACAAAAAACCTACAGTAACCAGCTAACTAAGTGAAAGTAGGATCATGCAAAGGAGACTCCAGAAATTGGGCTCTGGATTTTTATGTTTTTCTTTAGCAAAAATGATGTGGTGACTGCACTGGTTCCTCTGTAGTCTAATGAGATCCAGATTTTCTATAATTCAAATATATTTGCTTTAATAGCTGATGCTAAGTCTGAAGTGTTACAGTCCAGGTACCTTTGATTTCAGTCATAAAATCCAGGATTGTATTCTAAGAACTCTGAAGATTTACAAAAACTACAGTAACAATCTCACCAGTCACTTAAGCAATGAGAGGAAGCAGTTTTAGAGCTCACCTTTACTGTACATAGCCATCTGCACCAAGAAGCTATTTGGTAAATCTGACTTTGCAGAAAGATGGCCCATTCGCTTCCTCAAATGTGGGATGATCAGATTGAATGACAAATGCTGGAGATTTAGGGTAACTCCTAGGGAAAACCATTACCATGAAAAATCACTCCTGATCCTGAAAAAGCCTATTTAAGTGAGATAGCTCTCTGAGCTAGTGAGATAATTACTGATATGGTAAGCCTTTCATGAAGTACATTAGATGATTTCAGATGTCTACAGCATGTGGATCAGTGTGCAAGTCATAGAATCACCTAGGCTGGAAAAGACCTTTAAGATCATCCAGTCCAGTCTTTAATCCAGCACTGTCAAGCCCACCATTTAATCATTTCCCTAAGTGTCACATCAACATATCTTTTAAATTCCTCTAGAGGTGGTGACTTAACTCCCTGGGCAGCCTGTTCCAATGTCTAATAACCCTTTCAGTGAGGAAATTTTTCCTAATATCCAGTCTGAACCTCCCCTACTGCGACATGAGGCCATTTTCTCTTGTCCTTTCATTTGTTATTTGGGAGGCTGACACCTGGCTACACCCTCCTTTCAGGGAGTTGTAGAGGGCAGTAAGGTCACCCCAAATCTCTTTCTCCCCACGTGGAAAACTAAACACCCCCAGCTGCTCCTCATCAGACTTGTGCTCCAGACCCTTCCCCAGCTCTGCTGCCATTCTCTGGACTTACTCCAGTACCTCAAGGTTCTTCCTGTAGCAAGGGGCCCAAAAACTGGATACAATATTGGAGGTGCAGCAGGGCAGCCTCACCAGCGCTGAGTGAAGGGCACTGCACACTGAACTCGGGTAACGCTTTCTGGGAAAGACATATTTCTAGAGCTCAAAGGGAATTACATAGCTCAATGGAGCACATAGGCCTGCTTCAGAACAAATTTTCAGGTAGTAAACTAAACTACTCTTAGCTCAAAAAGAGGAAACCACACCCAGAATTTACAAAATTGATGTCAAAGGTCTCCAAAACTACACTAAAGGAGGCCAGTTTGCAATATGTCTGAGCCCAGTACTCTCAGAAATGGAGAGCATTGATATGGCTTTGCAGGGACATACTGGACGATGGGGACACTTGTGGGCCAGCTCCCAGAGCACCAGCTGATACAGCTCCTGATTCTGTGCCAAATGACATGCATAGCTTTCCCTGTTTGCCTGGCTTTCCTGGAAATAACTAAGCTTCTGCACAGCACTTAGTCATGTGTGTGATCATTTCTGTACTTCACTTTGCAAACTGAGCCTTTTTTGTAGTTTGATGACATTTTTCTGCAACTGTCCTCTGCTATAGAGATATGATCTATCTTCTACATCAGGAAGTGACTTGGGAGAGGAGAACAGTCACGTTAAATGATGTCACTGTCACCTAGTGTTCCTGAAAAAAACCCCAAAAGAACTCTCTAAAGTCTGTCTGCATATGACAAATGTCATATCTAAATTGAGTGTCTACCACTTAGTCCATTTATTGGTATAAACTATGCTGTTAAAAAGTATTTGCTTTTAGGGTGTCAGAAAAACTTGTGCCTGGGCATTTCTGAAAATGCAAGGATCAGATTCTCAAAACCCAAAGGTATCCCAGCTCTCATTCTACAAGAAAATTGCTTGGTTTGACTTAAGAGTACCTTTTTCTAGTTTAGATTACCTTCCCACATGCATTAAGTTTGGGCATCTATGAATTATTATGGGGTAACTCATTCTATCTCCATCAAAGTATCTGGATTTTAGGCATCTGTAGGGTCTCCTTAAAAGAAAAAGGTTTAGCAGAGGTTCTTTTATGTATAATTTGTAGCTACTTTGCTAAGCTCTCATCAGCCTCATCACGTAATCAACTGCTCTTGAATCTCCATTACACTCTCACATTTATGTCCAGACTCAGATTATAAATAACATTTTGCCATGGAATGCAGCCATTTTCTTACTCACATAGGCTCCACTGGGATGCACAGCCACCCAGAAATACACAGAATTTCATCACCTCATAATGCTGTCTGAAAGACTTTCTTTTGTTCTTTGCAGTGGCTCAGCTGAGAGGCAGAAGAAAAACTGACAGAACTCCCAATTCCAAATTCAGTTTGCAGTCTCACACAAACATACCAACTACCCAATAGCAAGCATTATTAATCAACTATACCCAAACATCCTTTTTGTGATGATTCTGCAAATATAAATTCTGATTTTTGAGCATTGACTACCCCAGCAGGCATATTACTCATCTGACATTATAATATCTGCCTCAGAAGGCATATTGCAAAAATATCCAGCATTTTTTGCAATATTTTGCAGTGGTGTTTTCACCTGTGAGTCACTGCTGACTTGCAAGCATGAACATGAATGAATGTTATGCAACTTTTACTGAATAAGCTACTGGATCAATTCACTCATCTGAGCACTTCCTGATGACATGCTGGTGTTTTCTGTGCTTTTGAATGAAAAGAAGCTCAGCAAAAGTGACAACACGTAATATTCACACATTGCAAAAAGCACAGAGAAGTGAAGAAACAGAAATAATAAATGGGCAAATAATGTAAGACCAAAACCAACACTGAAATTAGTTAAACCGAGCTCAAAGTAATGATTCTGTGGATTAAACCCAGTGGAAGTGACTATGCTCAATCACAGTCACTTCCACTGGATTTAATCCACAGATTAACTGTGGCTTCTAACTTTATCATTTCTGCTTCATAGCTGGCAAAACCTGACAGAAGTCTGGTAACAGAATGAAAACAGAAGTAGCAATTATTTTATGTTTTACCTTCCCATATTTGCTGTACCTTAACTTGAATATTCTTTTCTTTGGTAAGCTTTATTCAACTTGATGTTGCATTTAAAGTAAGTTCTTGTCTTTTTCTGACCATATTCCTCACCACATAACAGACACAGAACTTCATGTCATACTTTGAAGTTCTGTGATTTTCTTATGGCAGGAAATTTGCAATTCCCAATATTCTTAAGATTTTACATCAACAGTTAGGTCCTTTACTGGTGCAGTTGCTGATTTATGATTAGATATCTCAGAACCACTGGCCACCAAACATAACTCCTTCACTTGGAAGTTTTTTCACAGTGTGTTACAGACCACTTACCTATAGCTTGGCTCCCAATGAATTGCTCTTCTGTAAGGTAGGATGAACAGCAACCTTATGGAAATTAAAGATAGAAAGGTAAAAAAAGATAAAAAAGGAAATCAACAGCAAAAATCCTGATTGTTTAGCTGTGGGTCACCACTTCAGAGGTCTCACCACAGCAGAAAAGCAGGTCTGTATCTGGAAATGAACCAAGAATCTTGTGCCCCAGCTGCAGAGGTCAGGCACACAATGGAGCAGGCCTGCTTGCTGTATTTAGGGATGTTGATCACTGTCAGATTTGATGATGACGAGCTCATTGTTGTTGCAAGAAACAGCACTAGCACCTTGAAGTCCTCTTCTCCTGCTTCCTGGCTGAAAGAAACTAAAGAAATAAACTTTTACAGTCTCATACATTACATTTTTTTGATCACAGCTGTCTCAGAGGTTGTCTGTAAGAAAGAATGCCATGAGCATAGCAATTGCAGGTGTCTACTGTGATCTGCTGAGTTCAGTGCAATGTCTGACAGCTGAAGCAGAAACTGAATTTCAGCTACCAAAATTTCAGTTTGCTACTCACAAAGGAGTGCTTGACTTCTGCCTCTGGGCTTTCCAGTATGGGAGGGGTAATGCCCAGAAGCCACAGAGCCTTATGAACATGTAAGGCACCCCACGGTACCCAGTCAATGTTGCCACTTGGAAATTCACATGCATTATTTGCAAACACAGTGACTTTGATGATTCTGTGGATACTGTCATTGTGTTTTCTCAAAAAATCCATTAAAATTGATTCAGTTTGCATACAATGTCATTGCTGCTCACTTCTAAACTATCATTTCATGCTTTGTGACAGAAAAGGACTAAGCACTGAACGACAAATGCACTTCCTTTTGTTTCTCACGTTTCAGCATTTTCAACAAAGATAAAACATTACCCAGTGAATACCAATTTCCTCAGACCAGTGGAAGGAAGGGAGCCCAGTGGGGACTCTCCATTTCCCTGTCCCTTACATTGCCATACTGGTCACTTCAGTCTCCTACTGCAGAAATGAACAGCTAAAAAAAATAAACCTTTCAATCACTGCTCAATGCAAGATTGTATTTACATTTATATTAAACTCACTTTTCCACAGTACACACAGTAGCACAAACTACTGTGAACACAATCATAGAACAAACCAGAGAACACCATCTCTTTTATGTTCTGAAAGTATCAAAATACATCTTGAATGTGGTATTTTTTTTCTTTCAGAGTTTGCTTTCCTAATTATACTATTATCACTGCTATGCCAATACCTTCTCCCATTTTGTGTGCAATCATTACTTATAACATCACAATGGGCAATATTTTGGCATTTTGGATTACTGTCACAGCCAGTCCAGGGAGCTCAGTGACAGAGCACACTGCTTTCACTAGAGCTTACAGTGCTTTCTCAGCCCTCCAAAGCTTCTTGCTGAGTTTCTGAAATGCCAAAGTTGCTGACTTACAGGTAAACATGGCTTCCTGACTTTTTTAATATTTAAGCCTTACCTCCACCTTCTGCAAAAGTACTGCTAAATGTAAGCCACTAGAGCACTTTTGTTATTTTACCAAGTCTTTAACAACTGGAGACTTATTAATGTTGATACACATTCAAGCAATTATGTGATGTAACACAGTGATGTGTCCAAACTCAAATGAGCTAAAGGGATTCTGACGATGAGGCTAAACATCTGATACTCATTCTTTTACTGAGACAGCAGGATGCCTGGTAAAAACAACTCTGTGCAAGCATTCAGGGGAGAGTGTGGCTCACTTGTGGCAAGAACCTGTTCATTGCCTCCTTCTCTTCCTATCTTCTGCCCTTCTGAATTATTATTAACCTGATACCAACAAAACAGAGTGTTAGGCAAGCTTATCTTTGAGAAAGCTGCAGGCCATAGGCTTTATAATTCCATCCCCTTTTATTCCCTTTTCTTTCCAGAGCCCCCCTAAAACCATGAAACCACTAAGGAAAGCATCAGTTACAGACTGATAGATTCTGTCAAAGTATAGGATTGTGGCTACAAGTACTGCAAGAACACAGGCAGAGATACCTGGTATTTTCCGTTTCCTTTTTTCCTTGTTTCTTCTGCTTTATTGGAAAAGGAACTGTTTACATACACAAAATAAAATGAAACTACGTCTTTTCATCTTACAGATGCTTTGTAGGAACTGAAACAGGGAGAGCAGCTATGTGGCCTTTTCTTTTCCCTGTTCTCAAACAGAGCTTCCTGAGATGATATAAAATAATGTTACTTCCCTGAAGTCCACAGAACTCAGGTAGCTTACACTTTCTGCATCTCACTCACTGGATCTAAAACAGAAGTGTATGAAAAGAGAAAAAATTACTGAGCAAACTCATGCAGGCAAAGTGCTGATGAAATATCTACTACTATAAATAAATAAAATAAATATAAATAAACTGCATGTTTAGATCTTACCATGTTCTTCAAAATAGTAAACTAATTTCTCTCAGATAAAATTCCTCATGTTTCCCACTCATAAAATTCTTCCTTCAGACGGCCCAATTTCGCATGTTGCAGTCTTTCACTATTATTTGGTTTACAGCAAACTTTTAATTGTAATAACAGCTTTTGCACCAGTTATAAAAAATGTTGCTAGAGCTCAATTATTTCTTTATTTTGGCCATGCCATCAGTCTGGCATTTGTAGAAGGACTTTGTTCTATTCTGTTTAAAGTTCCTGTTAACAGAGTCCGTAAAAGTATTTTCATTTCACAAAGCACTTTAGAGTTCCTTATTCCTGTAAATCAAAACAATAAGCTATTTTGGGAAGGGCAAAACAGGGTGGATTCCATGTAAAATTATTCTGCTGCTATGCACTTGTAGCTAAACAAAACTCTAACTGATGCAATAAGAAAGCAATAAATATTAAAAACCTCTGCCAAAAAACAGGCTGTATTTCTTGAGTGGATAGAAAAATAGTGCCCTAACAGAGGGAAAAATTCTCACCTTAGTCTGTGTTAAGAACACATCAACAATATACCGAAGTAAGAAAATAAAATAAGAAGGTAGGATCTATTTTTATTACTTTTTTTGTAATCTCAGTTTCAAAATTCACCTTCTTTGGTAACAACAAGTCAGGTATAAGATGTTCAACACAGGTGAATTCAAGATTTACTGCGTACTTACAGAATTCACTTTTCCAGTCAATCAGAAAAAATAACATGCAAAAATTATCCATGAACTAATATATATCATTATAAGAAGGAGTTGATCAATGGCCACAGTATTCTGTCTAGTGATTTTCCATAAATTGTTTTTGTTCTGAGGATCTCATGTAACGACTGAGGTTCCCTGCAAAGCGGACAGACCCCCTACCCCTGCTCCTCACAGGGAGATTATTTACTACTGTTGGTTCCCACAGCTGCATTTGAGATTTGCGGTCCTGCACTGAAGCCAAAGCTGGTCCCACTGGGCAGCTGGAAATATGTCTAGGTGACAAATACACTTACTGCACACGCTGCTCTTACACATGCAGCGATAGTGACTGTCACACTAACTGCGTGCAAGACATTACTTTTTTTTTTTTTTCTTCTAGTGCGCTATTAGAAAGTCAGAAGTGCACTTTTGTTCATAGCTATAATTTAAGAGAGAGCAATATACGAACCCCATCTACTGAATACCATTAACTTTTCTTTTGTATATCAAAGCTTTTCTATTAAAAGCAACCTTCATAACACTACTCTTTCCCAAATGAAGAAGGCAGCTCACAGGGCTCACCCAACCAAAGAAGGAGCAAGTTCTCACCCAAGCAAACCTCCTCCCCTAAGCCCCCGCCCCGAACGCCGCAGTGCCACGTTCCCAGCCCGGTACTAACCCCAGCACACACCAGCAGAACAACGGGAGAGGCCACGGACCGTGGGGAACTTGGTACGGCCGCTGGTTTTACTTCAAAGGCACTCACTCCTACACAACAGCAGCTGCTATCAGGACAAGGCCTGAACCCAGGAGATCACCTGAAAAAGACGGCCCACCCCTCTCCCGGCCACCAGCTGTACCAGCCATGGCCCGCTCACAGCCGCCTCTGCCGTCGGGCCTAGCCGTGCACACGACGCTGCGCCGCTCTCCGCTGCCCAGAGAAGGCAGGCACGGGGCGAGCCGGGTTCTGCCCGACCACGCCACGAACGCGAACCACGAACAGCAGCGGATTGTCTCGCGCAGCGCCCCCGGCCCCACGGGCACACCGCCGCCCGCACGGCGCGAGCCGCGCGAGCGCCTGGACGAGGGCAGCCTCGCACCTCACAAGGGCCTTCCCCATTGGCCGGCCCGCCCCGAGGGGGCCGGGGTAACCAATCACAGCTCTCGTCTCTGCCGGCGGGCAGGCGGTGAGGGCCGCGCTGAGGGCGGGAGCCCCTGAGGTCTGCGAGTTCCCTGCCGGCTGAGGCAGCGCTTGTGTCCGGCCGGGGACCGGCCACACCGGCCCTTCCGACCCCGGGAAAGCTACTGCTGCACAGCGGGAAAGATCTCGAGCCTAACAGCGCGCGACGGGGTGAGAGAGCGTCGAGGAGAGGCGGTAGGAGAGGGGCCCAGCGGCGCTGAGGAGGTTGTGTGGGCTGAGGGCACAGAGAATAACAGGGAGCCTCTAGAACCCCCCATCAGAGCCTGCTGGTGGTTGGCAACCAGAACAGTCCAGATCTCCCTTTTACTATACATTTTCTGATCGATGTCCTTGATCCCAGAGTTAAGACTGACAACTTGTGCTTAAGTATTGCCCTTTCCTCATTTCCCTGAAAATGGCCCGTTTCTTCTCACTCTGAAAGAGCTGCAGGGTTTCTTCTCAGAGTCTACTACTAAAGAACCTCCAGGTAGGTCTGCTTAAGCAATTCTTCTCTCTCAAGAAGGAGGCTGAGCTTAAGCACAAGTAATATTTCTTTTAATGATGTTTTCCACAGAATTCCTTTTTCATCTAACAGGTAAGTCCCAAACTCAGCCTTTTTATTTGGAAATGTATTAACACTTCCTGTAGATCTGCTCAGAACAAATGGTATAGTACGGTATGGTTGCATCAAAATGTTCTGTCTCAATTCAGCATTAAACCACATCCTCCTGCACTGGGTGTACCTTATTTCTCTCTTTGCTACAGAGACTGCACCACAGGCTGCCGTGTTCTGAGCAGACATGGGGGCACTGTGGCTGGTTACGCTATGAACCTGGCCCTGAGGGGCAGTGCTGCATGGGGACATAAATTCCATTTTTTCACAAAGCACACTGGTAACATAAGCAGTCTTTACTCCTGAATGTGGTATTTTCACATGTATGAAACCAACTTTTTGCTCAACCTAGCAGCAAAACTGTTTGGGTTTCTGGAACAGATGTTCACTTCCACTCACACTGCCTCAAACTCCACAAAACTTTTCCTCCAGAGAGAAGGACTTCCAAAGCAGCCCTCCTCTGATAATCTCTTGTCTCAGAGAAAAAGTCTTTGCTAAAGACATGAATTTTATAGGAATTACTCTGGAGAAACATGTTCCAGCAAAAGGCAATAGGTGAGACAAGTGCTTTCAGATCTCCATTCAGATGCATTTCTTCTACTCCGTAAATTACACATACAACTCCTTGATTCAGGCATTAATCTCTATAAAACTGGTCGAGCTGTATTTTTTACAAGCAGAGCATAATTATGAAACCTAAGTTATTTGCGTTTGTACTTTTAAATAATTCCGAGGCTGCGGAGTGCTAGAGTTGTGACAGGGAGGTGATTCCAAGTGTGTTCCCTGGCAGTTGGTTAAACCTGTCACAACCCGTTAAAATCCACACGCGAGCTCCATCTGTGGAGCTGCGGACCAAACCGTGCAGCCTCGCTTCTTCCCAGTTCCAACTTGTGCCAGTTCCAACTTCACCACGTTTTCATCTTGTAAAGTTCAGCGCCTGTTAAATTGTCCCTCGCAGCGCCGCTCTAACACGGCTGTTCCCGAATCGCTCGCGTCCGTCAGAGCGCGCGCGGGACGCGCCCAAGGCGCGGGAGCTCCCCGGCCGCGCCCGGGGCCGGCGGAGGGCTCCGCGCGCGCCGCCCACCTGCTGGCGCGGGCTGCGGCCCCGCGCTTTCGTCACGCCCAGATGTTCCCCAGGCCACGCCCCGCGAGGTCCGGGCGGCTCCGGGCAGCGATAACGGGGAGCGCCGGCTCCGCTGTCACAGCGCGATGGGGAGGCTGCGAGACCGCATCGCCAGCTCGTTGCCTTCTTGAAAAACGGCACTGATCCATGCTCCGAGCGACAAGCTGCCAGTGCCAGGATCTATCTGCTGTTCTTTTTCTCTTCCATTGGACCGCCAACGCTTTTTCGATTTAGTGACAAGCTGGGTGTGATCGTCACGAACAAAGTGTGGGTTTGATGGCTGCGATATCAGCCTTTACTCCTACAAACCGATCCTAAGAAATAAGGGAGGGAAAAGTCTGCTTGTGTAATCTTTTTAAAAAGGGAAAGAGCGCTGTTGTGTTGGGTTTGTTTTTTCTTTTTTTGTCTTCATCTGTTTGGATTTCTTTTTAAACTTATGAAAAATGGCAACAGCAGCATATGTGGATCATTTTGCAGCAGAGTGCCTTGTTTCTATGTCAAGTCGTGCTGTTATCCATAGTCCTAAAGGGGAACCTGATCCCCAACCTGATGCAGCAATATTTCCTTCATCCAATGGAGAAGATAGACGGGAAGTCAGAGAAACCGGGAAAGACAATGGATCATCATTACTTGTGGTAGCTAGCATTTTAGCAGATCTGAACCAGCATGTCCCAAACTCACCTGCTCTAAGGACGGAAAAAACAGAGACGCTTGATATAACAGAACAAATACACATTTCTATTGCTCCTAAGGAGTTTGGGGAAGAAAGTCTGTCTTCAGCTGGTAAGAGCGGAGGAGAAAGAGCAGCCACACCTACTAGCCTGGCTGCAGTAACTGAACCAAGCCCCAGACAAAAGAACAAACGCATAAGAAGCTGGACTGACCCTGGATCACCCCAGAAAAAGCACAAATGCCACTATGTGGGGTGTGAAAAAGTTTATGGCAAATCTTCCCATCTTAAAGCTCATCTAAGGACCCATACAGGTTAGTTATAATCCAGCCAGAGATTTATTTGTTACAGCTTGGTAATTAAAATGAAAAACGAAACCAAACAAACTTTTATTTGGCCACTGTTATGGTTTCACCTCTCGGAACTCAAGCTCGGGAAAACCAAACAGCAACAACAAAAAAAAAAAACCCTCTGGGAATAAACCCTTACTGGGCATAGATTCAAAGCTAATGTTGCCCTTTTTTGTTAATGTCATAGGGAACGGCATGCGGGTCACCTGTGTGGATTGTACCAAGCTGTAATTTTTAGCTGCTGGCCTTCTTGTTCTGTGTGTCTTCTACTTCCCTTTCCAGTACTTCTTACCTCCCCATTTTCCCTACTCCCTGCTCCAGTCCCTCTCTTTATACCAGCTTATCACTTCCTATGCAAGTATCAGTACTCTTGATATTTTAAAATTAAATTTTCTAGAGGCACCTACATGGCTGTGTATCTGTTTCTTTTTTCAGCAGACACTTTGTGAAAGCTAGAGTAAGCAGAAGGTAGATGAGAGGCTGAACATGAGTTGCAAGGAGACACCATGAGTGAGGAGAGAGGGGGATATGGGCAGTGTCTAAAACACTTTTGGCAGCTGGGTAGAACCAAATTCAAAAGAAAAAAACATTTGAATGCAGCCAGTAACTCGTACTCATCAGTGTTCAGTGCTCACTTCTTGCTGAAGGCTGAGCACTTTTTTTGTTGCTACTGTAATTTATGAGACTCACCCACACAAAAAGTGGAAGTCTTGCAAGCCTTGAGAAAGTTGCACTGAAAGTATTCGGAGGGCCATCTTGAAATAGGCCCCATGACTTGCCACACCTCATGCCTCTGCCTGGTGCTGGGAAATAGAATGGCTTCCAGTCAGAAAGGGGACACCAAAAATTGAGGAGCCCAGTCTCTGCTGAAGGCACCAATCATAGCAAATGTGTGGAGGCACCGCACCAACTAGAGCAGACTTGTGCAAGATGTTCCACTGAGTAATTTCAGATGGCAAATTAGTTTGCTAAGATGTATGGTCAGTTCTCTTAAAAAGAGCAGTAAGAAAGAGATCCTCAGAATTAAACATGATATAACTCCTGAGCAGTTTTAGCTCTGAGGTGTCAGCCTCACCCATGCTGGCCTTACTTTCTGTGTGCCTTCAGCTTTTCCTGTTGCCTTCCTGAGATAAAGTAAGAGCCAGTCTAATTTGATGGTATGCTTTGCTCTCTGTGGGAGAGAAGAAAGCCCCATCAAATGTGAGCATATGGATGGACAATTCCCTGTGGCACACAGCCAAAGGAACAGTGTGTTCCTGGCACCCCAGGCAGCCTGTCCTGCTTTGCACTGTGTAACTGCTTTTTGCCGCCTTGGGAGTTACACAGAAAAGGTGTTTCCACTTGGCTTGCAGGGAATTGTCTCCATTAATTTTCAGTTCTTTTGCTTTCTTATTGCTGGCATTTGCCATTGTCCTGAAAGGGAAAGATAAATTTAGCAACGTTTCTGGGTTTCCAAACCAACCAGAGACCAAGAAGGGGAACTCCAGCCCCTGATAAAGAGAGGAGGGCTTGGCATGCCCGCTCTGCCGGGAGAGGAGGGAGGGCAGGGCCGGCAGGGAGTGTCGCTCCAGGCTGCCGGCAGAGCGGAGTCATTCGGGGACGCTGGCTCGCCTCCAAGCTCTCTTTTTTTTTCTCTTTTCCCTTTTTTTTTTCTTTTTAACTCTTCATTTCCTGTATTTTTTCCACGACTGTAGGGCTCAATTTGTTACTGCTGTACTAATGGCACTAAGAGAGCACATGTGTGTCTGAGAGCTAAAGGAAAAGCAGGGAAGGGACTGTTTTTGCCCAGGGAGTGGCAGGACCCTCAGGGACTACAGCTTCTTTGTTTTCTTTCGTCTCCAGTGTCTGTGTGGGAAGCTTTAAGCAAAGCTGCCAAGTTTCCCTCCTCACTGGCAACAGGTCTGTCTCTGTTTGGATTGAGTTTTAAACAGGCTTAAATGCCTCTTACTCTCCTTGCAGAATATTTTCTAAGATGTTTGCATTTTTTTTTCCGTCTTTAAAAGAAATTGTTACAGCTTGAAAAAAGTTTGTAAGACAATAAGAGTTAAGCTAACAGAGAAAGTGATCGCTTCCAGCATTGGTAAATGATTGTTCTTACACACACGTTGGTGTTTTACTGCTTTAGAACGAGGGCTTTGGGTCTTTGCTTTCCAGTCATCCTGAACTAGTCAAGTAACACATCAGTCTGCCCAGCTGTCAGACAGGGTGATGGTTATCCACCTCACAGAGCAGTGGTGAAAGTTCCCCAGCTACACATGGAAGCTGCTTTAAACACCGATCCAGCTAAGTCCCAGCCATGTTTGCTAAGAGTGGTCAAAACTTCTGCTATGGAGCAGAACTTCTTCCATGTGCTGTAAGACTAGATGAGCTGGTATTTAGGGGTGACCTGAAGGCTGAGGACAGCACTGCAGGCTAGAAGATAACAGATGATCATGTAAGAGATACTTGAAAAAACAGTTTATGATCTGCTTTAGAAACTTGCTTGTCCTTGTCTGTTACTTTGCTGAAAAAGTAAAGGTTTTGGTCTTCATGGTGTGAGGAAGGATAGACCAGATGCTTGAGCTTATGTCAAAGAGATAAAGAGCCTTCCAAGTACTATTGTATCAAATCCAGCCCACATTGATAGGGACTGAGAGCTGGTACTATTTTCCAGCTGTTTGGTGCTCTGTGTGAAATCCTTCTGATAATTATAGCCAGATATCAGAGCTTATATACATGAAGTAAAAACCATAGTGCAGAGGATGCTAATTCTCCTATTTAAAGCAGAAGAACCAAGATGGAAATGCCAAGAGCATCTGCTTTTTGTTCTTTATTCAGTGTACAGTGTTTTTTAGTACTCCTATTAGGACGAAATGTGCTGGAGCAATCCACAGTTTCTTGTGAGCTTTTTTGTACATTACTGGTTAACCTGTCTCAGCCTTATGAATACTTCAGCTTTATTACACTGGAAACCCTTGAACCAGGCAAAAAAATATCACCAAAATCTTCTCTGTTCTCTCCACCAGCTTTCAAAGTTACCATCCCCCTATGTTTCTTTGCATGTTTATGTTTTCTACTCTAGTCTCTCACTGAATGTCCTGGAGTTCAACATGATCATCAGCCACAAAGCCCTTGAAGTTTTAATGTTTACCAGAAGGTTATATTTAGTGTCAGTGGGTAGTTGTCAAGTCCAGATACTTTTCCTGTGGATCTCAGAAGCTCTGTTGTGGTCCACAGAGGCAGCACCCCCATTTATCCTAAGCTATACTGACTCCACTGATAAAAAAAAGGTTTTATTGATGCATGGGTTTTAAAAATCCTCTCCACTGAGAAAATTCCTAAACACAAAGGACTTACAAAAAATCAGATAAATAATTCACATGACAGAATTCCCCTTCATCTGAGCAGGTTTTCCGCGCAAAGGTTTTCAGCACATTTTCTGGAGTTACTGGAAACCAGTTAGTCTCTTGGTGCACCAGTGGTAGAAGGGAGACAGTACAGAGCCTACTAGCAGTCTACAGGCTACAATCTTATAGAGTCTTGTCCTGGACCACTGAGTTCTGAGAGACTGTAGAGAGTCCCGGCTTATTGCACTGTGTTACACATTTATACATAGAGAAAAAACAATGGCATTTTGAGCAGGAATCACAAGAATCCTGTGCATTGCAGCTCCCCACCAAATCATTGGGACCTCTCAAGATTTTAGCCATCCTCCATTAGCACACCATCACCATCAGGAATGCAGAGAAAGCATGAAATAAACCTTAATTTAACTCCTTTAAACTGTCCTTCTAAACTTAACTAGTTCTAAGCAATAAGCAGCACATCATAACACAGAAACAGCCTTTCAGTCAGTCATCAGAATTAAATGAGCCTGCACAAATAAGCAGAAGTTAAGAAGAACTGGGCACCAGTCTCAGCCTGGAGTCTTAGTAATTGGTATTTGAAAACAATCTGAGAATAAAGCAATCTGACCTTGCTGTGTCAAGTATGACAAGAGCATAACAGTTGGGCTGGACAAACAGGAGGAGTATATGGTCTGTGTTCAGGCTGGTAAAGAGGCCTTTATGTAAAGTACAAATTACCCATTTTAAATAGAGGTTTGGATTTCACTTTCAGTTCTAGTAAGTCTGATTTGGTCACACTATGTTAATTCAAAACAAAACAGTAAAGCACAGCTTCCCTTAAGTTGTGAATAAAATGCCATCCCTGTGTGTGGAAACTAATTAACCAATGTAAGAAATAAGTTTTTCTATCATAAAAATAAACTTTCTCTTCCGTTTTAGCACCTGCCAATTACCAGAACCATAGCTAGTTAAATAAAAACCCATGGACTAGACCTGGCTGAGGTTTCTTTAAGCTTGTCTCTAGGCACACAGTGACTCTTGAAGGCATATATATGTATGTGTGTAGCAGGTAGGCAGTGTTGGTGAAGACCCAAGGCTTTGAAGGAAAAGATTGCAAGAGAAGAAACTCAACCTAAGGCCTTCTGTGCTACTCAAGAGCAGTGCAAAGGAGGACTGCAGACAGCTCTTGTCTACAGCAGGATGAAATGAGTGGTGCTGGTGCTTCAATCCTTCCTCCTGAGCTGCCAGTTGGGCTGCTCTGCATACCGGGACTTAAGGAGGGCTGCACTCCCTCTGGACAGGATGCCAGAGGAAATTGAAAAGGCCTTTCCCCAGCACAGATTTCCCAAAGGCAAAAAGACAGACTAAATGAATTTGTCCTTCTGCTTGTTGGGCCTCCTGGGTTTGATTTCTTGTGTTAAAAGTTAGAAACAACTTGTCAGCTCTGAATGCTTCCTTCAATCTCATTAGCACACACCCAGATTATCTAAAAGCTGCAAGGTACCTCTCGGCTGCTGTGTCCCTGAAGTGCCTTCCACTCCTTACTTCACTGAGTACATCAAAACATTTTCTATACGTTTTTTGTTGTTTGTTTTTTTCTGAGATGGGCCCAAATGGTGGCTTCTGGGCAGATTCAAA